GGGGGGGAGCTGTCAGCCGCGAGTCCAGGGCGCCGCCGTCCCGTCCACCTCCTGGCCGCCCCTGACGGCCGGGTCGCGCACGCAGCAGTATTGCGCATCGCACGGACTCACCCCCCACTACTACTGGTCCAGCGTTTGGCGGGTCGCCGTGGCAACCCCCGTGATGCTGGGGGCGTCCCGCGGACCAATGGCAAGGCCCCGCGCACTGGCTGGCGCCAAGTTTAAAACGAAACTATTTGACAAAAAAATAACACTCTAAAATAGCGTGTTGTTGTTAGGTTTTCAAAATATGCTAAAGTGTCGTTTTTTTTTTTCAAATTTTCTCATTGGAACTGTGATTTCCGACACCTCCCACAACGACATTCCCCCCACACCCATAAACCAGCGAGGCCTACAACGGCTCCCTGGACGCCTCCATCCCGGACGCCTTCGCGACGGCCGCGTTCCGCTTCGGCCACTCGCTGCTGCCGGGCCGCCTCGAGCGGCGCGACGCCCAGCACCGCCTCCTCGGCGACATGCCGCTGTTCGCTGCGCTGCAGCGCCCCTTCCCGCTGCGGCGCCACGGCTGGCTGGACCAGCTGCTGCTCGGCATGGCCGGCCAGGTATTATGTTGAAGTTTGAAACAACTGCTTTCATACTAACTTGAAAAAAAATTCTCTTTGATAAAAAAAAAAAAAAAAACTTTTGAAAAAAAAAATTCTTCTAATTTTTTCTTTTGATTTTTTTATAAAGTTTTTTGATGCAATTTCTTTTTCCAAACAATAATTGATTTTCTCGCCCTCTTCAGGCCGCCAGCCCGATGGACGCCGAGGTGACGGCCCAGGTGCGCGACCACCTGTTCCAGCCGCCGGCGCGCTCCTTCGGCAAGGACCTGGCAGCCATCAACCTGGCGCGCGCGCGCGAGCACGGCGTGCCCTCCTACAACCACTACCGCCAGCTGTGCGGGCTGCCGCCCGCGCGCACCTGGCCAGACCTGGCCGTCGTCGTCGGCAACGCCACCGCCGAGCTGCTGGCCGACCTCTTCGAGTAGGTCGTCCTCTACATTACTGGAACTAAGAAATTTCAATTTTCCCAAATGAGTCTTTCTGGGAATTGTTTTTTCCTTTTCTTTTTAGAAAAGTCTGCTAATTTCCTTTAAATTTTTTCGAACTTTTTCTGGAATATTTTTGAAATTTTCCGAAAAAATTCCAGACTTTAAAATTCCTACCTGAAACTGAAGTTTTCGCCATTTACTTGTTTTCATTATTAATACATTTACTGGACACCCTTGACCACTGGGCCGCTGCCCTGGTTCTCGTCCTTCGCGCAGGCAGCCGGACGACGTGGACCTCTGGTCGGCGGGCATCGCAGAGCGCCCTGGCGCGTCGTCGGGCGGCCTGGTGGGGCCCACGTTCAGCTGCATCATCGGTCGCACCTTCCGCCACCTCCGGCGGGGCGACCGCTACTGGTACGAGGAGGCGGGCCAGGCGGGCTCTTTCAGCGCCGCGCAGCTCGCCGAGCTAAGGAAGGCCACCCTCGCCAGGCTCGTCTGCGACGCCGCCGTCGGCGTCCGCACCATCCAGGCCCGTCCCATGGAGCGCAGGCACGCCAAGCGGTGAGCAAAGCGTCGACGGTGAAAAGACTCAAGACAAGGCGACAAATTGAATCATTTCATCATTTAATTACCATAATAAAATATAACATAAAATTTTAAATTTTAAATTAGATTATAAAATTAAATATAATCATATAATTTTATAACATTATTTTATGCGATAATGCTCATTGGAGCTGCATCAAGCCGGGTGCCCACACTATTAAATTTAAGAACATGTTTTGAAATCTTATTTACAAAACATCTTTGGAATTGAGGTAGTCGCCTTGAATAACAATGTTTATTCTCTCTTTTCAGAAACCCATATGTTTACTGTTCGAATCTCAAAGAGCTTCCTCGCATGAGCCTTCAGCCATGGAAAGAGAAACTATAGCAATCACACGGACATCTGACAGACATAGATGTGGGCAATGTGATTTCAATCAAACCAGGTAAAGACAATTCAAATATTGATGCTTGGTTCAAAAAAAAAAATATTTCATCTGGTGGTATTTTTTTCCTGTGCTATGATTATCACAGCCGTGTTCCTGCTTGTAGTTTAACACAACAAATGACCTTACTCTATAGAAAACACAAGATGGAACTTAAGAGAATGGAAATTGTGATTCACAACATACAACACCCCAGGACAGTGATACAGTACTGAAGGCAGTCTCATAATCATCCTTCACAAACATACTTGCGTTTTTCAAATAAGTGTGGGTGTTACCTATTTCTTATCATCTTTCTTTTTCTCTTTCTCTTCATCCTCATCGTCTTCAGAGTCATCATCTTCATCATCATCAGAATCATCTGAATCAGTGTAGGAGCCATCCGACTCATCAGAATCATCTTCATCATCATCATCTGCACAGGGGAGACAGAGAGTTAGAAGGAACCATTGAGAAAAGAAGAGAAACTAATAAAAGGTTGTTTTTCTACATACCTCCATAGCTATGAGATCCATAATACCCATAAGATGGACCATCATCGTCCTCGTCACCATCATTGAACCCTTGCCGACCAAATTTATGGCTACGGGCTGAAAGATTGAAGAATATATTTAACCAAAAACTCTTAATGATACAAAAAATATTATTTCAAAAATGCTTCAATGAGCAAACTTACTGGACATGCTGAGGTCTTTAGTTTGTGATGTATCATAGCCACATTTCGGACATGGAATGGCTTTGCCCTTCTCATACTTGAACCCTTTCCTACGCACATGATCTTCACAGTAACATACTTTGCATCGCAAACAAGAATATTGACCTAGTTTGTTGCAAGATTGGCCTGTATGATAAAGTTAACAGAAAGTAGTTTTAGAGTACGCAATTTTAAAAAATGAAAATTTTTGATTTCCACTAACTTACACTTTAAGTTTTCAGATTCAATGACTTGACAAGAAGCTTGGTGTTCAAATTGATCATCTTCACAGAGAAAGTTTGTGCAAAATGAGCACTGAAACATTCTACCACCATGATCCCACACACCTCTCTCGCATTCAATACATACTGCGTCTTGCAATGGACAGATACAAGCATGGGAGTTCAAACATTTCCGACCATGGCATACCCAAGCTTCACAAAAATCGCAGATAGCTCCCTAAAAGAGTCAAGGGTGAAAGATCATTATTTTGATTGGTTTTACATCATTAAGAACAATATAGTAGTGCTACAAAATACTAACCACCATGCCCATCCCCGTAGAGAACTGCCCTGGATGCTTCACAACGCAGTCTCCAGTCTTCAGCATACATTTGACTTTTCCACATTGAGCACATTGAGGAAGCCTTTGAAGACTCTGACAGAAGTAGCAAAACGCTCTATTTTTCTGTTTGCTAAAAAATAAAAGACAAGTTGTATGTAAATTTGCTAAGGTTTTTTTTTCAAATGGTAAGCTATGAACGCAAGTAACACAAGTATATTTTCAAAAAAAGTAAAACCTATCAAATATAAATTTGTTTGAGCCAAGGCTGGATAAAAATTTAAATAACAATAAAAATCTAAAAATTAATCAAAGTCTCAAGGTCTCTCAGGAAAGCATTAGGTAAATGTTCTTTCCACATCAGACATTAATGACAGCTCTTACTCCACTCACCGTTCACATCGGTCGCATTCCTGAAACAAAAAATTGGGTCAGAATTATAGATTTTACTCAAATCAAGACGATCGAAATTAGATTCCACCGAAAACATAACCTCAAACGAACACTCGTGTCGACGTACCATGGAAGCATTGCACGGATATTTGGCGAGAGGAACATGTTCCTTCGCTGATCTAATTTCCTTCTGTCGTATCCTCTGCTTCTCTGCCTTCTTCCGCTGTCCAGTCTTTTTCTTCGGCATCTTTCAACTGCTAGGGCAGATTTTACAGCAGTTTGCACAGCGCGACACGTCCAACGACAGCGAAAGCTGATGGCTGATGGCTCCTCCCCCTCCCCTCTCCCTCCTTCCCCCTCTTCCTCTCCCGCTCCCTCCCCGTCCCCACCCTCCACCTCCCCCAGAGTCCAGTCCAGAATACATTCTGCAACTCTAATCCCTCGTGGAAAAGATGGTGATCCGAAAATAAAGAAGAAAAAAATGTCCTGGGCAAAAATACAGAGTTAGCGTTCAGGTTTTTTAGTCAAACTTGTCACAAAATGTTATAATGACATGTCAAAAGCGGACCGTTTTGCTCATTATGTTAGTCAACGCGAGGCAAGATGTCAAGTGCGTTTTAAAGTTAAGAGCAAGAGCCTGAAGCATAGGAAGATGTATAGTATTTTACGTCCCTACTTGTGGCCACAAAATTGTGGCCACAAACCCGGCGGCCAGAGTCAGCTTAATCCGACCCGACTATAGAACACCAATATTCGGGTAATATGAAATCCAAAGCCTTCAGGAAGTAACCAGAAGGTAAGGACATGCACTGCACATAGTCCGTGACGAGCCGAAAGGCCCCGGATGCGTAAAAACCAACGCAATGGGGCCCAGGGGGCCCCAAACACGAAGAGCAGCTTTTGAATGGATTGCCTACCCTCCAGGCGCTCTCAGCCACAACTGAGCCCTCAGCCACAACTCATCCCAGGGTCACCCACTCACTGGGTACGGCCGCGGGCGTACGGCGAGTATGTAGTGCGGGCCCGCCTACCCTCCAGGCGCCCTCAGCCACAACTGG